GTAGCTATTCAAATTTATTTTTTTAATTAATTAAAAGTAAAAATAAATTAAGATAGGTTCCTCAGTCATGCTAGCCATGTTTAAAGAGAGATATAGAACATTTAACTTCAGTTTACCTATAATAAAAGTCAATAACCAAAAACTTGAAAATCTTTATATGGTTTTAAATTTAGTGACAAATTTCTAAATAATATATGATCCAAAGAAAAGATCACATTGAATGCTCACAATTTTTATATGAATTATAAAGGAAATATAACAACAAAAATCTGTCTTGTGAAATATTGATTGTCTTAAATGCATTTTTTTTTTAAAAAAAAGCAAAGCATGCATCAAAAGAAACTAAAAATGGAAAAGCTAAAATTAGGTAAAAAGCATACACAATAAAGTAGAAGGAAAAAAAATAAATGGCACAAAATATTGACAAAGAACAAAATTACAGTACAGAGAATCAACAAGGCCAAGGTCATTATTATTAAAAACACAATAAAACACTGATGAAAAAAATTAAGAAGACAAAAATATTTTCTACTTGGAATAAACATGAAATATATTATTGCTTTACAGATATTAAACAGGTGACAAAGCCATATTATAAATATATTTAATATTTATATGAAATAGAAAATGTAAATTACCAATGTTGTATAACAAATAGTAACCAGAGTAAACCTAACATGTATTAAAGATACTGAGTTTACTATATAAACTTTTTATAAAAATAATTCTGCAAGCTCAGATCATAACAGTAGTTAATAATAATGCTTAAAAATATAATAAAACTCTTATACAAAGGCTTCCAGAAAATTGAAAAAGGGGAATGCTTTCCAACAAAACCTTTCAAGTACACAAATAAATAAAACTCACGCTAATCTCTTTGTGAACATGGATGAAAAGAAATGTTCATCTAAATATATCTGCTGTTGTATTCGGAGAAGTATAATTGAGGTCAGAAAATTATGTGATAAAAATATGGGATCTTTAAAACCTGTAATTCAATAACACAGCAGAACCGAACAACCAACACAAATAATTTTCTTTAAGTGAAAATGTGCTCGTTCACTTGGAAAAATGGTTAGCAGAAGTTTTGCTATTTTGAAAAAGAAAGGACAATATATCATCATTATTGCAACTTTATTTCAGAAATGCAGACTGGTTTAACATTTGAAAGAAAAGGTAATTTACATCATAAACATACAGAGAAAACAACATTCTAATTAATGCAAAAATAATAAAAATGCAACATTAACTGACAATAAAATCTAATAGAAAAGTAGAAATATTATGAAATTGCTTTCATATGAGAAAGTATGTTGATAAAAATGTAAACAAACCTTATATTTTAAAAGTAAAATATTACAATACTTTCCCCTAAATATGAAAGGCTTCATATAGCATCTTAATGGTACCTTCTGTTCAACATTAGAAATAAAATCATAGCCTGTGAAAATAAGTCAAAGGAAAAAAAAAAATTGTACCTGTGAAAAATAAATAAAAGTGTGATAATTACAACCTTATCTGGTTTGCTCAGTGGTTAGAGTGTCAGCCCATGGACCAAAAGTCATGGGTTTAATTCTGGTCAAGGGCATGTACCTTGGTTGCAGTTTAATCCCTGACTCTGGTTGAGATTGTGTGGGAGGCAACCAACTGATCTCTCTCTCTCTCTCTCTCTCTCTCTCTCTCTCTTACTCGCTCTCTCTCTCTCTCTCTTTCCCTCTCTCCTTCCCTCCCATTCTACCTGAAAATCAATGGAAAAGTATCCTTGGGTGAGGATTTTTTAAAAATGTGGTAATTACAGATGAAGTAACTGTTTATATAAAAATTTCAGAAAAAAAATTATACTTGAAGTGATAGAATTAATACTTAAAATCAGTGAAGTTATGGTGGTGTTATTCAACACAGTATTGGAAGTCCTATCCAGAACAAGAAGCAAGAGAAAGAAATGAAAGGCATCTAAATGGGGGGGGAAAAGAGTAAAACTGTCACTTTTTGCAGATGACATAATTCTTTATACAGAATACCCTAAAGACCACACACACACACACACACACACACACACACACACACACACACAACAAAAACAGAAAACTATTTGAAACAATCAGCAAATACAGTACAATTGAAGGATACAAAATAAATGTACAAAATCCACTGCATTCCTATATACCAATAATGAAATTTCAGAAAAAGAAAGAATTCCTTTTGCAATTACAACAAAAATAATAAAATATATAGAAATAAATGTAATGAAAAGTGTGAAGGTCTTATACACTGAGAACTACAAGACATTACTAAAAGAGACTGAAGAAGACACACACAAAAAATGGAAAGATATCTCATATTCATGGATTGGAAGAATCAACACAGTTAAAATGGCCATATTACCCAAAGCAATATACAGATTTAATGTAATCTCCATCAAAATCCCAATGGCATTTTTTATAGACATACAACAAAAAAGTCATCAGATTTGTATGGAACCACAAAGACCCCAAATAGCCAAAGCAATTTTGAGGGAAAAGAACAAAGCCAGAGGTGTCACACTTCCTGACTTCAAGTTATATTACAAAGTGATAATCAAAACAGCCTGGTATTAGCAAAACAAAACAAAACAAAAACAGATACATAGACCAATGGAACAGAACTGAGAGCCATAAACCCACATATACATGAGCAAATAATTTTTAACCAAGAATCCAAAATCATATGATGAAAAAAAGAAAGCCGCTTTAATAAATGGTGCTGGGAAAATAGGAAAGTCAGTTGTAAAAGAATGAAACTAGACTACTGTTTGTTCCCATATACAAAAATTAACTCAAAATGGATTGAAGACCTACATATAAGACCTGAAACAATGAATTACATAGAAGAAAACTTACGAACTTTGCCCTTAGAAAGAATTTTATTAATTTGATCTCAAGGCAAGGAAAGGAAAAGCAAAAATAAGTTAATGGGACTCTGTCAAAATAAAAAGCTTCTGCACAGCAAAATAAACCACTACCACCACCAACAACAAAAAGGGAACCAAATTGATATTTGCAAGCAACAGTTCTGACAAAATATATAAAGAACTCATACAAGTCAACACCAAACAAACAATCCAATTTTAAAAAATGAGCAGAAGACCTGAACAGACACTTCAGCTGGGAAGACATACAAATGGTCAACAGATATATGAAAAGATGTTCAAATTCACTAGCTATAAGGGAAATACAAATCAAAACTACAATAAGATACCACCTCTAACCTGTTAGAAAGGCTATTATCAACAAGACAAGTAATAACAACTTTTGGAGAGGCTGTGAAGAAAAAAGAACCTTTGCCCAGCCGATGTGGCTCAATGGATTGAGCGTTGACCCATGTACTGAGAGATCCCAGTTGAATTCCTGATAAGACACATACCTAGTTTGCAGGCTCAATCTCCAGTAGGGAGCATGCAGGAGGTAGCTGATCAATGTTTTGCTCTTACATTGATGTTTCTCTCTCTCTCTCTGAAAAATCAATAAAAACATATACAAAAAAAGGAAAAAGGAACCCTCATTTACCGTTGGTGGGAATGTAAACTAGTACAGCCATAATGGAAAACAGTATGGAAGTTCCAAAAAAATTAAGAATAGAGTTACCATATGACCCAGCAATCCCTCTTATGGGTATCTACCTCCAAATTTTGAAAGCATTTATTCACAATGACATATGCGCTCCTATGTTCATTGCAGCATTACTCATGGTGGCCAAGATATGGAAACAACTGAAGTGTCCCTCAAAAGATGATTGGATAAAGAATATGTGGTTCATATATACAATGAAATACAACCATTTTTCAGTCATCAGAAAACATGAAATACCGCCATAGACAACAACATGGATGGATCTTGAGAATATCATGCTAAGTGAAACAAGTCAGACTGAAAAAGTCAAGAACCATATTATTACACTCATATTTGAAATATAAAACTGACAGCAACAAGTGAATAAACAAAAACTCATAGATACAGACAACAGAATGATGGTTAACAGAAGGAAAGGAGGGTAGGCGGGTAGTGAAGAGTAGAGGGAGTCAAATGTATGTTAATGGAAGGAGATTTGACTTCTGGTGGTGGGCACACAATGCAGTATACAGATGATGTATCATAGAACTGTCTACTTGGAACCTATATAATTTTATTGATGAATATTGCCCCAATAAATTTAATAAAATTTTTAAAAAATGATTGAAGTTATTGGATATAAGATCAACATGGAAACCTTAACTGTATTTCTGTTTGAAGCAGCAAAAATTACTTTAAATTTTTAAAAATAAAGATGTTATTTACAAAAATTGTTACTGTAAAATATCCACATTTCTGTAAGACTTCAATATAGAAAAATTAAAAATATAGTAGAAAAATTAAAGGAAATCTAATACATGGAAGGATAAAACATGACATTGATTAGAAGAGTCATTATTGTAAAATAACTAATCTTTATAAATTACTTAAAGTTTAAATGCAGTCCCAAGCACAATCCAAAGTGTTTTTTTAACAACTTTATTGAGGTTTAATTTACAAAGCATAAAATTCATCCATTTAGATCGAATATATCAGTGATTTTTAGCATATTCACAGCATTTGCAACTGTCTCCACAATCAAAATTTAGAAATTACTCAGTCCCCAAAAGAAACAGTGTACCAGTTGGCAGTCATTTCTTATTTCTACCTTCGTTCCAACTTTGGCAACCACTAATCTACTTTCTGCCTCTGTGGCTTTGCTTCACACGACATGTGATCTTTTAGAAATATTGAGTGCCACAAATATAATATTGAACAAAAAAAAGTCAGAAACTAAAAGTAATGATATCTGTACTTTTGGATGTGTATCTTATTATCCAATAATTGTTATAGAATTGTTTTCATAATTAGAACAAATAATATAATTTATTTTAAGATTTATGCAAATAATATTATTTCCATTTCATGAAAAAACAAAGTCACTAACAGAATCCAAACTCAAGTGTTTTAATTCTAAAGCGTATACTTGCAGGTATATATTTTTGCAGATCCACAATTGCTTGATGAGAGGCCATATGGGGTTAGCAAAGCACAGCCACCTTTAACAAATGATAACTCTCGTATCCTGTAATGGAGACAAAGCATAATTTTGTTGTTATAGTGTATGGGCCCAATCCATAAAACAGTAAATAACATTTTCCATGAAAATGTAATAGGAGAATATTTTGAAAATGGGTAATGATATTTTTCATATAATATTAGTAAGAGTTGATTATTAGAAAAACTAGGTAGTCATTCTTTAATTTGTTGTTGTTATTGTTGTTAACCCTCACCCAAGAATATTTTTCCACTGACTTTTAGATATAATGGAAAGGAGGGAGGGAGGGAGAGAGAGAGGGGGGAGAGAGAGAGAGAGAATGAGAGAGAGAGAGAGGGAGAGAGAGAGAGATGTGAGAGAGACACATCAACTGGTTGCCTTCTGAACAACCCCAACTGGGGCTAGATTGAACCTGCAACCCAGATACATGCCTTTGACCAGGAATTGAATCTGAGACCTTTCCGTCTGCAGGCTGACACTCTAATAGCTAAGCCAAACTGGCCAGGATAATTCTTTAATATTTATATCATTTCATTAACTTTGAACATCATTCTTCATGTTTATAATTCAACATAAACAAATGTATTACTACTAGTCTTCTGAATTTTTCCTTTTTATAATTTTTATATAGCATTTAAAAATGACTTACTTTAGTTTGAAAGTTGAACCATTTATCGACATCCATGGATGATCATTGCTGCTACGGAAAACTCCAATCCATGATGGAAGTGATATGGACTTCAGAAATTTCTACCCCCAAATAAAGAATTTTTATTTAAATAATCATTATGAAAGTTTATATTATTTTTAAAAATACAAGTAGTGTATTATTTCATGGGATCCTTAATTTTCAGGACAAAATAAAAATATTGGATCCTAATCTAACATTACACATAAAGTTATAAACCACTTTTAACATTGCCAAAAATTTTCAGCAATGTTTGTACTTTTGATTTAAAAGTAACTCTTAAACATTGAGACTTACATTAACAAGGAAAATCCTGATATATATAAGCTAGTAGTTACTAATGTTGACAAAACTAACATAACAAGGCTTAAATAAGTTTCCAAATACTTAAAGTATTTGATACTGTAACTAAATCAGTGTAGTTTTCTACTATATTGCTCCGACTTTAGGTTTTAGAAAAAAATTAAAGAATTGTCATTAAGTAAATAAGTGACATGAAAGCCAAATGTTTGGTATTCTGTACCCTATACCATTCTTTCACCAGACCTGAATTTATCTGTTTCTGTGTTGGTGGAATCCAATGGTCCAGGTGTCAGAGGCTCATTTCTCTGCTACTCCCTGCTAATTACAACTATACATTCTGGAACTGTTGAAAGATATAAGTAAAGGAGAGCTCTGAATGGTGGAGAGAGAAAGGGAAAATGGTTTGGTATCCCAGAATTAGGGAATAACAGAGTGACAGGGTACCTCATATCTTTACCCAACAAAAGAAAGTAATCTAAGCCTGCTGTTTCCAATGTCCAACCTAGCAATAGGAGGTGGCTCAAGGAAGTCATCCTTCCCATGTTTTGGAGAGGAAATTCTGTCCAGCAACACTAGCCTACAGGGTGATCCATGAGGACACTTGCCAAGAAAAGCAATCAGAGGAAGTTCCCGGAAGAAAAACCAGCGTATGGGGGTTGGAGGTGGGACCAGCAAAGGGGCTCCTATGATTGAAAGCATTAGACCCAGCATGGCTCTTTGTCCTTGAGGGCATGAAACTCACATCCTCAATGAAAGACATCACATAGAATCAACTTTAAAATGTTACATTCACATAACTCAAGCGTGAAATTAACAAATTGCAGATAAATGCTGCAAGATAACTACAAAAATATCACATAGAAGTGAAAAAGACAAGAAGAAAAAAGCATACTGTATGATTCCATTTATATGAAGTTTATAAACAAGTACACATTTCATCATAATTAAAAATTAGGGGAGTGGTTAAAGAGAAAAAATATGTGATGAGAGAACACATGAGCAGGATTGCTGGGGGCTGGAAATTTCTATTTTGTAATATGATTTATAATTACATGGTTTTATTCACTTTGTAGTTGGTCTGTACAATCATGTATCTTTAGTGTCCTAGACATATGGTAAAGTTAAATAGTAAAGTTTATTTTGGAAAAAAATAGCATTTATAGAAACATAGTTTGGAAAAACAAGATTGGAAATTAACAAATGTGTATATATGTGATAAAATATAAACAAAATATAAATAAGAAATAGAATATTACTATACTTCAAAACTAAATAACTAGACAACTAAAAATATGTACAAGAATCCATGTCAACTTATTAATATAATATTGATTAAAATAACCTTTTAAAAAAACCTTTGAAACACTTAAAATCTTACCATTTCTTCTTCATTATCTATGTAAAGCAGCTTAGAGTCCTTAGAAGCACAGGCCAACAAACTCTCATTCCATGTTTTATTTTCAGTACTAATATAATAGCAATTATTGGAATATGTAAACCACTTCGGTGGACAATGACCACAATGATATGCTAAAAAGAAATTATAATTTTTAACTGAACACAGTTTGAATTAAAGAAAGTAACCTACATATATGCATAGGTACATACATATATGTGCATAATATCTATGCATTTGCACAGGCTGATACATGTAAAACAAAAAACACTCATACACTCAGAAAGAAGGGTCACTTCTCACTGCCTAATTCATGTGCTCATATAAAGAAAACACATATGTGGAATCTAATGAACAAAATAAACTGATGAATAAAATAGAACCAGAGGCATGAAAACATGCAACTGACTGATGAATCCCAGATGGAAAGGGGGAGGGGAGTGGGACGAGATTAACCAAAGGATGTATATGCATATATGCATTACCCATGGACACATACAATAGGGTGGTGAAGGCCTCAGGTGGGGTGGGAACCTGGAGGAGGGGCACAATTGGGGGAACAAGTGGAGACATCTGTAATACTCTCAACAATAAAGATTTTTAAAAGTAAATAAGTAAATAAATAACTTAGCCTTATCAGATCCATTAAGTCCTCCCTTTCTTTCTTTTATAAATATGCTTTGCCTAGCCGGTATGGCTCAGTAGATTGAGCATCCTCCTATGGACTGAGAGGTCCTGGTTGGATTCCCGGCACATTCCTGGGGTTTTAGGCTCTATCCCCAGTAGGGGGTGTGCAGGAGGCAGCTGATCCATGTTTCTCTCTCACATCAATGTTTCTATCTCTGCCATCCTCTCTCTCTAAAAAACTAAAAACATATTAAAAATCTATCAGTTGCCTCCTGCATGCCCCCTACTGGGGATCGAGCCCACAACCCTGGCATGTGCCCTGACCCGGAATCAAACTGGGACCTCTCAGTCCATGGGACAACACTCAATCCACTGAACCACACTGGCCAGGCAAGTCCTTTCTTTAATAAATATTTATTGAGCCCTGGCCAATTTTTCTCAGTGGTTAGAGCATCGACCCTCAGACCAATGAGTCATGGGTTTGATTCTGATTAGGGGCACATACCTCGGTTGCAGTTTGTCCCCAGCCCTAATCAGGGACTTGCTGGAGGCAACCAGTCTATGTGTCCCTCTCACGTTGATGTTTCTCTCTCTCTTCCTCATTCTCCCTCTCTCCCACTCTGTAAAAAAATAAAATAAAATAAATATTTATTGAATACCTACTATGTAAGTTGTTGGTTGAGTACCCAGATAATATTATTTAGAGGAATTAAAGTACTTAGAAAGATTAAAATTTTAAAACATGTTGACTATCTGGTTAAATGAAATGCAAGATTTTCTATTTAATACCATTAAAATTATGATTAAGACAGAAAACTTGTTCATTAGCTCCATACATAGTTAGTGTTTTCTTTACACTTTATAGCCTTTATCCATATGAATGTTATTATTTCGCAAAATTCTACTTCCTAGCAGCAAGCACTGGTGATCAGATCTGTTTTGTAGGTAGGTTGCAATAAAAATGATAAAAAGACAGCCACCCAGTGGCTCCACATGTATTTAGTTTAAACAAGGCTTATAAGCAATCTATGAATTTCTATTCTCTTTTGAAATATAAATAAAAATGCTATAGGAAAACACACACACACAAATACCCACACAAACAAAAATATTCACTCTCTAATATCCTGGAAGTCAATGAATGAAACCACCTTTGTTAGACTAGCAATGTGATTTTTGTCTTATCATAATAGAGTGGTAGGAATTTTGAGCCAATTGGCAACAATGGGCATAGTGATTTTATTTATTTATTTTCTTTATTGAATTTAAAGAGAGAGGTAGGAAGAGGGAGAGAGAGATTGAAACATCAGTGAGAAAGAACATCGACTGACTGCCTCCTGCATGCCCCCACTGGGGATTTGACCCACAACCTGGGCATGTGCCCTGACTAGAAATCAAACCCGTGACCTCTTGGTGTATGGGTCACCACACAACCACTGAGCCACACCAGCCAGTCTGGGCACATTGATTTAAAATACTTTTTCATATTGCTGCATAGGAAGAAATTCCTCTGTAATCATTATTTATAAACATTTATTGCTCATGTTATAATTTGTTTTCTCACCTCAAAAAGTCTATGATCATTTTTGCCTAGTCTATGATAGAGACAAAATATAAACTTTGCTAATATTAGAACGTTGAAAATTATTAAGTACCTTTCAGGATCCTTGTTTCTGGGGATGAATCGTTTTTCTCCAGTATTACAGTACCTAAAAAAATTAAGGTAATTCTTAAAAAGTTAATTAATACAAGTAAATAATAATGGCTTTTGATTTTTAGTTTGAAGCTTGTTGTTGGGTTGTCTATGATGAGAATTATCTGTAATAAAATTGATTTTACCATGAAAATTAATAAAGTAATAAAATTTAGGGGAAAAATATTTTAAAAGCCTAAAGGACAAAACTTCACCATCTCTTCAGTATAAGTTTAACCAATAACAAGAGTTCATTTGTGGGGACACAGCAAGATGGCTGAATCCTAAGGACTCTCTGTCCACTTGCTCCAAGCACAGGCCCAGACCTGAGGCTAAACTGCAAAACATTCAACTTAAAAAACCACCTGAAAATAGCTGATGGGAAATGCTGCAAGCAAGGAGAATGGAGAAGGGACAGGAGAAGACATGAAGTGGGTGAGCGAACTCTGGCAGCTGCACAGTGTGATTGCGAAGGTGGCGAGCAGGTGCTGCCGAGCAGGTGCTGCCGAGCAGGTGCTGCCGAGCAGGTGCTGCAGAGCAGCTCCTGCCCCCTGGGAGCAGGGCACTCAGCCCCACACAGAGGTCCCCAGAGGAGAGCAACAGAGAAGGGACTGGGAGCCGGTGTACCATCAGACAGCCGGAATCAGAGGTGATTCAGCCCACCAGGGGGACTCAGCGCTAGCTCAGGCTAAAAGCCAGCGCTTGGCTGCACCACCAGTCTGGAAAGCTACCCTGATTGTGGGAGCCAGAGAGCACACAAAGCAGAACAGCACACCTGAGAAGGGGTCTGGGCGAATCATACAGCAGCAAAACTTAGGACCGGTTATTCCCTGAAAGAACTTTGATGGGGACCAGCCAGAGTGCCCGGGGAAAGAGGCACATTCCTCCCCACCTAGAGCGAAGAGGAGGTGCCCCTACCCCCACACATGGACAGTCTTGGGCTGGAAATTGGCATCACAGAAGCAGGGCCTAACGGTGCTGGGGATTTGGATGTCTGGCCAGACGGGAGCCTGGGCAGAAGCCTGCTTGTGAGAGCTAGCCATGCTAAAAAATTAAAGAGCCAAGCAGGGCGTATTTTGTTTTGTTTTGTTTTGTTTCACCTTTTTTTTTCCTATTCTCTCCTGGTTTGGGTGGTGACCAGAGGGTGCCAACAACCCAGGCAGAGCTGAGGCATTGGAAGGAGAGAAAGAGACTGCCTGCCTCTCCTACAAACACAACCCCCACACAAACCTGTTTAAATCACCCCGACCAGACCTGATACCCAGCAGAGCCCAGTGCCATGAGGAAGGGAAAGCAGCCCAGAATACAGCCCAGGACTGGAGAGCCCTGAAGGCAACCCAGCCTCTGGGCAAGAAAAGCCCTGCCCATAGGAGTACTGGGACCCCACTCTGCAGGGCTTCAGCCAGGAGGCCAAGGGCCAGGCAGGGACGTTGATTCACATTGGCCTGCGGCAGAGAACTGCCCAAGAGGACAAGGACCCACACCCAAGGGAGTATATATATTCTCTCCCTCTTCTAATTCGTTTGGTCTCACACCTTCTAGTATTTTTACTTCTGTGTGTGTGTGTGTGTATTTTGTTTGTCAGTGTGTCTTTTAATATTTTTGTTGAGGTGGTTGCTTTTATTATTGTTGATGCTGATATTTGGTGTGTGTGTTGGGGGGGGGTTGTTTGGTCTGGTTTTGCTTTGGTTTGTTCTATCAGTTCCAACACAGCAGTTGGCACACAGGGTCAACAGGGTGGGGGTTGAGACTCATAGTTAACAACACCGAGGACTGAGCCCGCCAACAAATGGACAACAGCAATCAAGACCCAAATTCAACAAGAGAGCCCACATAATCTACACAAGGGTCATTCCTAGAGCACCCAGCTCAGAAGCTCAGGGAACTTACTTCCTGCATCCCACAAGAAGGCCACCACACCCAAACTGGGAGGCATAGCAGTCTTATCTAATACACATGGACTTGCCTACGTGGCCCAATGTGCCTCACCTGAACTAATAGACTGCTAAAATGTGAGACAAAGAAACAACCCCCAAATGAAAGAAAAGGAGGAATCACCGGAAAAGGAACTACATAAAATAGAGGCAAGCAGTTTGTCAGATAAAGAATTTAAAGCAATGGTTTTAAGGATGCTCAACTTAGTAAGAACTAAACCAGCATTAAAAAAAAAAAAAGGTAGAAGCTATAAATAAAAATCAAGTGGAAATGAAGAATAGCATAGCTGATATAAAAAATACCTTGGAAGGATTCTATAGTATATTAGAAGAAGCTGAAGACCAAATTAGTGAGTTAGAAGACAAGGCAGAAAAAAACACTGAGAGCAACAAATGGAAAACAAAATTAAAAAGCAGGAGAATTTAAGGGAGCTTTGGGACAATACAAATTGTAACACCATTTGTATCATAAGGGTACCAGAAGGAGAAGAATCAGAGAAAGAAATAGAGAACTTGTTTGAAGAAATAATGACAGAAACTTTCCCTAACCTGGTGAAGGAAAAGTCACACAAGTCCAGGAAACACAGAAAGTCCCAATCAAGATGAACCCAAAAAGACCCACAACTAAACACATCATAATTAAAATGGCAAATGTTAAAGACAAAGAAAAAATCTTAAAGGCAGCAAGAGAGAGTCAGAAAACTACGTACAAGGGAGCTCCCATTAGATTGTAGCTGATTTCTCAATAGAAACACTGCAGATCAGAAGGGGTGGCATGAAGTATACAAGTAATGACAAGCAAGGGTCTGAATCCAACCTACTCTATCCAGCAAGGCTATCATTTAAAACTGAAGGTGAAATAAAGATCTCCGCAGACAAAAAAGTCTAAAGAAATTTACTACTACCAATCCAACGCTGCAAGAAATGCTAAAGGGCCTAGTTGTAAGAAGAAGAAATAGAGAAAGGCTAAAAGCCAACACAGGCATAAAGAACAGAAACGGCAACAAATAAGTACCTATCAGTACTAACTTTAAATGTAAATGGCTTAAATGCTACAATCAAAAGACATAGGGAAGCTGATTGTATAAGAAAACATGACCCATATATATGCTGTCTACAACAGACCCACCTCACAACAAACGACTCATACACCACTTAAAGGAATGTGACATATACTTTAACCCCTTTAGAAAACAGTGTGGCAGTTCCTCAAAAGGTAAAACAGATTTATCACACGATCCACTTATTCCACTCCAAGGTATTTGAAAACCTATATGTTGACAAAGATTTGTACAAGAATGTTCATAACAGCCTTATTCATAATAGCCATACCTCTAACTAATGTCCCCAGGTCTGGCACTAGCTGCAGCTGATGCTGGTTCACAGCTTGGCCTTGCCTGGGCACCTTCAAGCCCAGCACAATAAGCAGCCATCTGTAGATTATTTTGTAGCTTATGCCTGGTGGCCCTGTGTAAAACACAGGCAGCGACTGACCTTGCCCCAGAGCCAGCACACCCAGTGGACAGCTTCAGACCACATTGAAGCACCACCACTCAATCACCTTCACAAGTTACACACTCACTGAGTGGACTCAGTGGGTACCAGAACCTCACTGAAGTAAGTCTTGCTCTTTTTGGTGGGGCCCCTACGCAGCTGATTCTCCAAGGTTGTCAGAAGCCAGTGGTCAGTGGGCACAGCCAGTCATTGCAGCTGATTAGCCTGATAAATCCCTCTAATTCACATGCCAACAGCAATCAAGACTCAATTACAACAGACAGGAGTATATTCCACACTAGGGATATACCTCAAGGGCCCAGCTGGGGTGATCAAGAGGCTGTGCCACTAGACCCTACAGGACACCAACTAAATCAGACCACCCTACCAAGGCTAGGAGACATAGCAACTCTACCTAATACATAGAAACAAACACAGAGAAGCAGCCTAAATGAGGAGACAAAGAAACATATCCCAAATGAAAGAACAGAACAATACTCCAAAAAAGAATTAAATGAAATGGAGATAAGCAATCTACTAGATGCATAGTTCAAAACACTGGTTATAAAGATGCTTAAGGAACTTAGTGAGGACCTCAAGAGCATATAAAAGGACCAGTCAGAAATCAAGGATGCACCAACTGAAATAAGGAATAATTTACAGAGAATCAGTAGTAGAGTAATTGAGACCAAGAAGCAAACCATCAATTTGGAATATAAGGAAGTAAGAACACCCAATCAGAACAGTAAAAAGAAAAAAAGAATTTTTTAAAAATGAGGATATCGTAAAGAGCCTCTGGGACAACTTCAAGCATACCAACAATCTCATCATGGGAATGCTGGAAGGAGAATAGAGAGAAAAAAATTGAAAACCTATTTGGAAAAAAAAATGACAGAAAACTTCCCTAATTGGGGAAGGAAACAGACATACTACTCCAGGAAGCGCAGAGAGGCCCAAATAAGAGAAACCCAAAGAGGCCCACACCAAGACACTTCATAATTAAAATGCGAAAGGTTAAAGACAAGGAGAGAATCTTAATAGCAGCAAGAGAAAAGAGAAATCAGCTGACAGACCTCCCACAAGACTCAGCTGATTTCTCAACAGAAACTTTGCAGGCCAGAAGGGAGGGGCAAGAAATATTCAAAGTGATGAAAAGCAAGGACCTACAACCAAGATTACTCTATCCTGCAAAGCTATCATTTAGAATCGATGGACATATCAAGACGTTCCCAGACAAGAAAAAGCTAAAGGAGTTCATCACCACCAAACTAGCATTATATGAAATGATGAAGGGTCTTCTTGAAGACTATCAAAAATATTAACAATAGAATAGCAATAAATACATATTTATCAACAATTGAATCTACAAACAAAATGAACATACAGAACAAAAACAGACTCATAGATACAGAGAACTTTTGGTTGATTGCCAGATGGGAAGCGTTGGGGGGATGGGTGGAAAGGTGAAGAGATTAAGTACCAATTGGTTGTTAGACTGATGAACCTCAGAGGGAAGGAGGGAGAGTGTCAAGAAGAAATAAATCATAGAACTTATATGCATATATGCATAATAACCAAAGGACACAGACAGTAGTGTGGGGAAGGCAGGGGTGGTGTGGGAGCAGGAAGGAGGGTGTCAATGGTGGGAATACAAGAGGACATTTGTAATACTTTAAACAATAAAGATAAATTTAAATAATAAATAAATGCTTTTAAAATGTAACAAAAAATATCTTTTGGATTCTGAAAGTGTGTGTGCTTGAGTTATAAAGTCAGAATATATACATCTCTATAATCATTATGTTATTCATGCATCTGACAAGTTCAAAATAAATAACATGACACATTTATCTAAATGCATGCATTAAAATGAGAGGTCTATTCTGTAATAGTGTGAAATGTTTGGAGGCACCTAGCTTCATTTCAGTGAGACCTTCCCTTATAATCTTTCAAAAACTTACAGGGCATAAAATGTATCACTCTTACTATACTGTACATCAAGATAAGGCAGATGACTCCCAGGGTCCCAGCAATAAGCTTCTCTGGAGGTGATGGTGAATCTACAGAGTGAAAAAGGAGAGATGGAGACATTGTTTAAACAGTTTACATATAAGAGAATTCACAGGCCCAAGGAATCACATATGAACTTGAACCCCAAAACTGTATCTATCACTGTAATCTTCCTCTCAGAATCAACCATTGCATTTTCAGGAAATATAATGCTCCATGAGTTTTTGGTCAAAGGCTACACCTTACAACAATGCCTGAATAAAATTAGCCATCAGATTTCATCTTAGAATACTGTATTCCAATTTTAAGCTCTGACCCTTACAAATGAAAACTATGTGAGCTAATTCTTCACTCCTTCCCACACCTCTGCACCCCAACTGCAAATCCTAGAAGAGTTACTGTGTGTCTATTAAAGGTATCACTTTTGCAGTGGTTATTCATGTCATTCCATTGAAGATCCTGAGAAGCATTTGACAGTTTATTCACACATAGGATATTTGCTGTTTTGTTAGTAAAATGGAGCTTTTCATGCCTTTACCTTTCGCTTCCTGTCTCCTCGAATCCCCAGCCAGACTCAGTTCTAAGTCATTTTCTTGTTGGATATCCATCTCCGCAATTGAGTAATGTCAAGGACTATGTCTATGATAACAGTACATTAGTAGTTAATAAATGATATGAATAATGACAAGATCGAAAGGATAGTCAATGTAGGTAGAGTGTGAGAAATGTAACAGTACTACTCACTTTGCATCCGACCAATGTGATGTCTTGTTCTAATTCACTTAGAAATTTAAATGTCTTAATACCACATGATCTCACTTATATACGGAATATAATGAACATAACAGTCTGAGGAATACAGTAGACCCAGACACATGGAAGTAGGGCACAGACTGACATCCCTCAGAAGAGGGGATGGGGGGTAGGGGGGAGGGAAGAGATAAACCACAGCATGTATGCATGACCAATGGACATGGACAACAAAGCCGGGGACAGGGTGGAGGGGGGGTAGGGTGGGGGGTGCCAATGGGGTAAAAAGGTAAAATATCTGTAACAAAAAAATAAATAAAAATTCATAAAAAAAAAAAAAAAGAAATTTAAATGTCTTATTATAGAGTAATAGTTCTTAAAATGATATGCTATGTTTGACACAATATAAAGAAGCTCAGACAACGATATCATTATTAAAGTCAGATTCCACTGAAACATTTTAACATCTTCGAATAATTGTGAAAAAATGCTGTATAGAAAAAAATGTGATGCACCAATTTTTATGACAATTTTAAAATCCACTAATGGTTAAAGACTGAGTGTTCTAAAGTTGGGGGAATAGTCGTGTTAGCATACATAGTAATTTCCTTCAATATATTAATTTTATTTAGTCACATTTATTTATTAAAAGGGCAGATGAGGTGCTATCAAATAAAAGTTTATTTTGAATAATTGTGGAGTTCTGAGAAATCATTACAATTTAATGAAATATTTCATATGTTGAAAAATGTTACATGTCACACTAAAGTTATCCAAAACTTACAAATAACAAAAGCAATAAAATATTAAAGGAGTTTTAAAAATACTAATTTTATACAAGTAACTTGCAATTTATTTAATAGTTGATATAAAACTGTAAAATGATAAATAAATATGTAGATCATCTATAGAGGATAAATAAATATGTAGATCATCTATTGTTGGTACAAAATTCCAGAAATATCCAATGGCTGTCTCAATAAGTGAAAGTAGCTTTAGTGTACAGGCAAATGTAATCAATCAGATAATTTGTTTAATAATTCAGTCACTGAGCTCTGTACTCAGTGAGATCTACAATAAATTCCAGCTTTGAAATTTATAATGCATTACCTTTAAAAGCTATTTAGTGTCTAACAACCAAGTTTACCAATCTAAGGTGGGAATAAAAATGTGTTAAGATACAGTGCATGAAAACACTTAACATTCAATCTGACATTTATAAACTCTCAATATGTCACTTACTTTAATTATTTTAACACAATTGTCATGTAACTATTTCTGATTTATATCAGACAATGTAACATAGTTCATTAGACAGTCTCTTATCAGTATGGCATCTCATTTGGCAATATGTTCAATTTGTAAAAAGTCTTTTGACTGTTTATAATTAAGTTTAAATAAGCATTTTACAGAGGCTACGAAATCCTGATTTTTATTACAGGTCAAACTGCTTTTATGTAATGGAAGTGCATGAATGAGGAATAATGTTTGCACTTCATGCATTGATTAATTCTTTTAAGAATCTATTTTTAAATTATTTAAAATATAAAATAATATGCATATAAAATTGTATCTATTAATTACAAAATCCAATGTTAACTGTTCCCTGTTTTGATGCTTATGAGATTTCAAGCCCTCATAAACATGTGTGTATGCTCTGGTAATTTTGCACAGGCAAAAATTTGACTATTTTAAGGTATCTGCCAACATATTTCATATTTTACTCTTTTTACCCTAAATTGTGCAAATAAGCATACCAACATTTTCTTTCATTTGATTATATATTAATTGTACTTCAGTAGTATCATATCTAACATTTGTAATTTCCCATTAAATGAATTGCTCCAGAAGAGACACAGGAGAATAGAGACACATACCTCTAGAAACCAGGAAGTCATGCATCCTTTAGTGGGAGACCAGGTTACTCCTGTCAACAGCAATGTTTGTGGTCTTCATAGATTGCCCTGTGAAGACTGAGTGAAACAAAAGTAGAAAAAAAGTAGATTTCTCATCACTATGTCACAAAGTTTGAACAGGAAATTCTTACACCTGAGCAATTTTGAAGATGGTTAAGTTCATCAGACACCTTCATAATGTAGGAGACTTTGAGCTTGTAGTACATCATTTAGTTTGTCCGTTGTTAAGTACCTATGACAAATTATTTCATATTGTAAAAGATTTCTGGGACAAAAGAATTGACCATCTATCTTGTTAACTTCCATCTTAAAATCACTAACTGAAAACTTAGGCCTTGTTAAGAGTATCTTAGATGTATTAGTTCTATTCTTAGACAACGCGGCTAAATACTGTCATTACCTAATTTTATTTATACTCTCATTATGTTATTTTATTATAGTGGAATAAGTCTAAAACCATAATTCCATTAACAATAGGTACTTAATGATATTTGTCACTAATATTCTAAAGAATTACTACATTTTCAACTTATAATAACTGTCACAAATATTAATTTCCAAACTTCTCAATCTCTCCGCCCTAATTCTTAAAATTGCTACATTTAATTCCATTATATTTTATATTTCCTCTGATAAAAATATATCTCTTTGTGAAGGATAAAACATTAAGCAACATAGAACTATACCATAATGTATGAGATTGAAATATTAAATTACTACTCATTATATTACTCATTAATTTATCCTTGTATCATAATTCATTGTCTGTATTTTAATAGAAATATTTGCTGTAAATAACAAGATCTCAAGTCTAACTATGTAGAAGGAAAATAAATGTAACTTTTAGAAATTTCAGTTGACCAAAACTGAGGAGGGCAGTAAAAATAGACTTTGAAAACACAAGTTAAGCCCTGGCCAGTTTGGCTCAGCGGTTAGAGCGTCGGTCTGCGGTCCGGAGAGACCCGGGTTCGGTTCCCGCTAAGGGCACGTACTTCGGTTGCAGTTTGTCCCCGGCCCTGGTTGGTCGTGCGGGTGGCAGCCACTCGATGTGTCCCTTCAACTCGATGTGTCCCTTCATGTCGATGTTTCTCTCTCTCTCTCTCCCTTCCTCTCTCTCCCTCCCACTCTATCTGTACAAAAAAATGAAAAAATATCCTCGGGTGAGGATAAAAAAAAAAAAAAGAAAACACAAGTTAAATGACGCATGAATATCAGGAGAAATAAAATGTAATAGAAAAATTAAAAAATAAAATAAAATTGCATTTACAAAAGATAACTAAGAAATTCTGTATTTGGTTTTATTCCATTCTCTAAGTGCAACTTTTGAAAGCCCTGTGAACAATGCCGTTACTTATTACCTTATATATTCTGAGAAGTATAAATCATAAAATTATGGGATGAAAGTATAGTCTTAAAAACATGCACTTCATTCACACAAAAGAACAGAAAAGCCAACAAAAACAACTTTTCATAAGAATATGGTATGCTTGTTCATTTGGGGGGAAAAGTGAGTAGTTGAATTTTTCCTATTTTGGGAGAAAAAAATGGCTGTCATTTAAAGTTTTAAGCTTAATTTTCATCTTTTTAGTTTTGACTAATAGAATGAAGAGATGTGTTTAAGGCACCAAGGACATTATTTCCAGTACAGCATTTGAGAGAGAAACAATAATCTGACTTGTGCTTTTACTTTGTAACCAACTGGTTGAGTTTTTTCAGTTAGTCTAAAATGAATTATTTAGGAAATATTCACCCCCCAAAAAATTATCTAGTCTCAGGTATCCTGTACATTGCCATCATTTTTTGTAGTTATTTTTTCTCTCTGCTTTTTCACTGTCCCTACACTGTCAGAATCAGTAAATGTTATAGAATAGTGAAAACATGGCCATTTGAACTCTGAAGGATGATTAGGCAAAGAATCACCAGTCGGTCTGGTCTCTCCACTTCTCACGGGGTTAGTACAAAAGTATCTTTTAAACAAAGCTTTTCATTGACTAGTGTTGAATGTGATGAAGACACTATGAAATGAGTAATTGGTCATGTAAAACAGGCGAAAGAACAAGCACATTGTACACTACATAAATAGTGAATCTATTTCTTTGGAAAATGAGGTTTATTAAAGATAAAATTTGCATCTAAATCAAATTAAAATTTTGACAATTTCTAATCTAGATTGACTCAGGTTTTAAAAAATCACAGTTTAAGGAAATTCACACTACAGTCTTTTGTAGTAAGCATAACACAGCTGGATAACTTATATGAAATGAGATGCTATAATGCTACATCATCAGGTATCTTGTGGATGTTTACATATTGTGGGTTTTCCAACTCCTTTATGGTAGAAATTCTAGTCAACTGGTCTTTATTACCATTAATCTTTCATGGTGCATTTCTATTAATTTGGTCATTTAAATTTTATATATTCTATCTTATTGACCCCAAAAAGAATGAAAAAGTTTAATTTTTAAAAAGAATTAAATACTCAATGTCAACAAAATTAAGGAATTTAAGTGCAATGCAAATGTGATACATGTGTACCTGTCGTAGGAGGCAATTATTTAAAAATGATGATGGTAGTCTCCATGAAACCAGTTTATTTGGGGTTTTGATTGTCACATTCTAAAGTGTTAAGAATGTTGAAAGATTTGAAAGGTCATGGAGAGATGAATTCTAAGTGAACTGTTGCTTCTGATTCTATGCCAGGGCATTTCCCTCTCGCTTCTGGAACCTTCCCATCACACTGCCAACCTTTCGTATTCACATGACGGAAATTCAGTTTTCACAAACAACAAACCAAAGAGTGTTTCCAGGACAAATCATGCCGGGACAAACGATCTGGACTTTAATGTGCTATTTTTAGTCATTTCCTAGTATCACATGCCCACACCCCTCCAATTTTCAAATTAACGTCTGCTAGAGCCAGTGAATGTGGCCTTATTTGGCAATAGAGCCTTTGCAAATGTAATCAAACTAAGATGAGGTCATTCTGGTGTGGCATGGATCTTAATACATATGAAATCCTATAAGAAGAGGGACATTTGGACACAGGGACAGAGACACATAGGGAGAATGATGAGATTTAGAGGCAGAGATTGTAGTAAAATGTTTGTAAATTAGAGAATGTCAAGGACTCGGGCCACACACAAAAGGAAGAGAAATGCTGGGTACAGAGACTCCTCTAGAGTCTTCAAAGTGAAGAGAGCTTGTTGACACCTTGATTTCACACTTCAAGCCTCCGGAACTGTGAGAGAGGAAGTATTTGTGGTATAAGCCAGGAAACATTAGTATATTAGGAAGTAATGAAAGTTGCATGAAAACATTTTGAACAACATAAGAGGAATTAGGAGTACCATCTGTGACAGGGAACTGCCATGCCATTGGGATCGATGGGGAATGTAATGTTTGGACAAATAAATGAAGTTGGTGTGAAAACTAGCAATGTCGATATGTACATTTGTCCCTAATCATCACAAAATATCAGTCTTCCTGAGGGTCTCAAGAAGATTCTCCATCTCCCATTCCTTGTTTCTTATTTCTCTTTTTGTTATTTACGGTGAATATCTGTCAAGGGTAGAACAGTTCATACACACTCTTTAGTCATTATGATGCTGCTTGTCTTAGTCATTTTATATCAGAGAAGCAGCTGTGGAGATGAATGTAGATTTAACTACATACGCAAAAGTCACCATTTTCCAAAGAACATCTCAGAAAGTCTGATTACTTTTACTTGGAAGTATTGGCTTTGGTCAATTAATTTCCTATTCAGGCTTATTCTCCTGATCATTTAATTTGGTGACTTCTCCTCAAAAGTTTGATGATTTCTTTTGTCTCTATATTGATAGCTGGTACTTTTCATTTGAGAAATGTTTTTCTATCACAAAATGATATTTCTATTATAATGTTAATTAATGTAGTTACAATATAAATAAGCTATATCTGATAATATTGAAACTATGTGAGGAATCTTGTGGCTGTACAAAGTATGTATTTTATATTCTGGCTTCTGGGATTTCCATAATCCTGCAGGTGGTCATATCTGCTGGTACACAACTCTCTTCTCCACATGTTCCAGTGGCTGTTATTGTAGATTAGATTATTTTTTGATGAATCTACATTCCTTTCCTCTGACCACTATGAGAAGAGTATACTTTGCAGACAATTAATAAGGTTGACCATGTGACTTGTTTCAATAATATAATGTGATCCAGAAAGTAACAGTTTATGAGTTCTGAGCACAAGCATCAAGAAGCACATTTCTGCTAGACCAGCTGAGACTTGCTAGTCACTGCTATCAGAAGGTAAAGTACCAGGTAGCCCACTGTTCAGAGAAAAACATATATAAAAAAGATCTGAACTGAATCTTTGATCTGGTGCTGAGCTCATCCAGGCCCAGTCTACATCAACTGAAAGCCAACCAAACCACAAATGGGTAAATGGGAACTAAATGAATAAAATAAATGCTTGTTTTTAAATGTCAATGCATCTGGGTTGATTGTAACAAGACTTCTACAATTAGATACAGCTACAACATACATATTATATGAAATTAATTTTTAATATTGACATATTTTCTATTTGCGAATCTAAGGAATAAATATACAGAATTTTAAAGACTACATCTATATTCAAAGAGATTAATGGATATGAACTGTTAATTCATTTTACAAATAAGAAGCAAGTATAGGACCTCTCCCACTTGTAATTAAATTATACTCAAAATATCTCTGAATGATTGCCAACTGACTAATGTTTATCCCACATTCTGTCCATAAGTAACTATTTGACTCACATGGATATTTTATCCTTTTAGTTTTATTTTCTTCTTTATTTTTTCCATTAAAGCATGCTTCTAAGCATAGTAATTAAGAGTGTCAAAAGGGGGAGATAGAGAATTTAATAAAACAAAGTACTTTCCTAAATATCTAAAATTCAGTAGAGAAAAACAAAAATGCCAAAGGACACATTATTACTCAGTGAAGCGACCATTCGCCACCAAAAATGAGCCTAATCAGGGGTAATGTTGCATGGATTCTGAAGATTTACATGTTCATTTCTTTCTCTGAGCAAGTGGGGCATATTCAAATGGCTCTCCTATAGAAACCTTGGGGTAGTTGCATAGTAAACGTGAATGCCAATTAAGAATGTATTACTCTAGGTTCCAAATTATTGTCCTCTCTGAGATAATGGGACTAGAGTCATTTCCCCCAGTCAGGTCGCTTGGTGTTTTGACAGTTGAAAGCATCATAGTGAAAGGACTTCTCTTCTTTGTTTCTCTTCTTTCTTTTTGGCTGCAGTGGTGTGGTTGACAGCTGTATGCAAGCAGGAAACTCTTGTGGTGTGTGCCCTCCAACACATATTTGTGGCTAGCAGTCACACAGTTCTCCCTCCTCCAACCTCTGGCTTTTAGGCAGGGAGGTCTTCCTATTTCCCAGGCATAGCTTGAGACCCACCCTTACCGCTACTGGCTGGCCCACTTAGAACTTCTCTGCCCTAGAGCAATCCCTGAACATGTCTGCCACAAAGGTATGGTCACTTCCCCTAGTGTTTCTCTCCTGACTGAACTGACTTATACACCTTGCCACTATGGGATAGTCAGTCCTGGTTTTCAACATTCAAGGGCTAAGTCAAATCAATAAATTTGAAAATAGGTGTGAATTCATGTTATTATAGACTTAGAAATGAGAGTTCTTTGAATTATAGTTTATAATTTGTGCATGATTTATTTTAATGAATTGCAGAAGCTTTGAAAGTGTATAATATATACCTGGATATATATTTTAAAAGAGTAATATAAATATAGATTTAAAAATAATTCTACAAAACCAAGGGTAAAGGGTCAGATAAACTATGGGCTGTAAGTAATTCTGACATGTCAATGTAGATTCATTCTCAGTAACAAATGTACCACTCTGGTGAGTGATGTTGATAATAGGGAGGTGTGCTAGTGTGAGGACAGGAGGACTAAGGGAAATCTGAGCACCGTCCTCTTAATCTTGTTGTAAACCTAAAATTGGTCTCAAAATCATATCTTAAAAAAATAGTTCTACAAAAATAATTACAGTGTCTTTGAAGAAACCAGAAACATATTCTGGAGAGATGGTGAGAGTACCATAATACCGAATTTATGTAAGTTAACGTGCCTGGTGCTTACAGACATATGTTTTTGTTTATTTTATTTTCTATTTTTCTCCACCACCCAATTTTTATTCATTTATTTTTGTTACAGATGTTTCTCCTTTTCTCCCCTAAACCCCCTCCTCCCCATCCTGCCCCCCACCCCCACCCCCTAGTATTGTTGTCTATGACCATTGGTTATGCATATATGCATATAAGTTCTTTGGTTCATCTCATCCATCCCTCCCACACCACCCCCCTACTGTGAGGTTTGTCAGTCTGAACCACTCCTTTCTATGTCTCTGGGTCTATTTCGTTCATCAGCCCACCTAGTTCATTACAGTCCATAAATAAGTGAGATCATGTGGTATTTGTCTTTCTCTAATTGGCTTATTTTGCTTAGCATAATATTCCCGAGGTCCCTCCATGTTGTCTCAAAGGATAAGAGATCTTTCTTTCTTACAGCTGCATAGTATTCCATTGTATATATGTACCACAGCGTTTTTATCCACTCATCTATTGATGGACACTTGGGCTGTTTCCAGATTTTAGCAATTGTAAATAGTGCTGCTATGAACATAGGGGTCCATATATTCTTTCTGATTGGTGTCTCAGGCTTCTTAGGGTATATTCCTAGAAGTGGGATCACTGGGAATTCAATTTTTAATTTTTTGAGGTAACACCATACTGTTTTCCATAGTGGCTGCACCAGTCTGCATTCCCACCAGAAGTGTACTAGAGTCCCCTTTTCTCCACACTCTCACCAACACTTGTTTGATGATTTGTTGATGGCGGCCATTCTGACAGGTATGAGGTGATACCTCATCGTTGTTTTAATTTTCATCTCTCAGATGATTAGTGATGTTGAGCATTTCTTCATATGTCTCTTGGTCATTTATATCAGACATATGTTTTTGTTTCTAAACAGGATTCATCAGAACTGAGCTTGTGTTTATCAAGCTTCACAAATGTACAATTCTTGTCCAACCCTGAATTAACTGAGAGTCTGAAATACAAAAGTAATATATCACTCATATGATAATATATAAGTTAATATTTTAGTGAATAAATAATTTATTTAGAGTAATATATACATACCTAAATCTGAATATTTCTTAATATTCAACAGAAAATCTTAGTTTACAGTAAACCCTCAATTTAACAGGCTTCTGATATAGTGAACAAAATTTCAGGTCTGTATGTCACATGTGAAAATTAATACCTTGTTAATTTTAAATGCTTTAAACAGTGATTTTTAAATAATTAAATTAACGTGTTTATTTGTTATTACTTCACTGTTATTTTTAACAAATCTTTGTGTATAGGCCTTATGTCGGAAAAGACATTTAGTAATTTTGCCAATATAAAGAAATATTACATATCTACAACAAAAGTCTATGTACGTGAATCCAAAAGTCACTGCTCTTAAACAATGTTCAGCAAATAAATAGCACATGATCACACCGCATTGTGTGTGATAATTGGTTCCGTTGTTGAGTAGTGTGACTTTCTGCAGCACTTTTAACATGTGCCCAGGTGCACTAATCCACACCCCAGCTGAGTGCATTTGTTTACTTGCAGAGATTGGTGAATGCTTGTATTCCCTAGACCTAATCAGTATAAATTTTAAAAATATAATAATACATATAGAAAACTTTTCTGTGAAATTAAACCTTTCATACATACTTAATTTTAATTACACAAAAGTGTCTACATAAGTGTAAACAGGTAAACTATTTTGTTAAACTAATTTTTTAACATAAGCATTCGGAAAGCCTACTTTATTTTATAATCAACTTTCCGCTTTAACAGACACCGTTTTACCTGAATTAGGTTTTACTATATTTATATAATTGTTTGCACATTGATTTTTATTTCTGAGATTAATTCCTGGCTTAGAAAGCAGGAAGGCATAAAATATATGAGTTCTCAGGAAACTTAACAGTTTGGAAGAAAAAGTTGAAACATTCAGCCACAACGACAAGTCATTATTGTTTCTGTGAGAGAGTCTAATCCATAAAAAACTAGTGAAAATGCTCAAAAAATTCTATGAGAAATCAAGTAAAACCTTATATAGTAATTTGAATTTGTAAAAATATATAGAGTTGGCCCATGTCTGGAGAAGGAGAAAGAAGTCAAGGAGGTCCAGGTGATGGCTCTAGTTAAATGCACAGCCCATCAGCATCTGATGCAATTTGTGAATAAGCAAATCAACCATGTCTCACACTCCAGGAATTGATGGTGACCCCTCTCAGCAGGTCCAGCATATCCAACATCCAGTAGGTCACACAATGTTCTTCTTTTTTTTTTTAATCCTCACCCAAGGACATTTTTGCATTCACCTTCAGATAGAGCAGGAGGGAGGGAGAAAGAGAAACATGGATGTGAGAGAGACACATTGAGTGGCTGCCACCCACACGACCCCAACCGGGGCTGGGGACAAACTGCAACCAAGATACATGCCCTTAGCGGGAACTGAACCCAGGACTTTCTGGTCTGTGGGCCGACACTCTAACCTCTGAGCAAAACTGGCCGGGGCTTTCACAATGTTCTATGGAAACACAGAGGATCTGAAACTTGGAACACCTCAAGAGTCACCGGAACAGAGGCAACAGCTGCAATAGAAGCAGCAGTATCCTAACCAAGTTGCCACAGAAACAGATAATTACGGTCGAGTTTGGATCTCCGTCCACCACCCTTAGTGACCAATATCAAAAGCAAATGCAGAAGTATCGCTTCATGGCTGAGTTCACAGCATCACTGACAAACTTTCCAAAGGTCCAGAGGCAAGTTGTTGAGAATGGAAGAGTTTGTTGCTTGAGTGGGATCCAGTTCCAGAGTATCTGGTGGTTTTCAACCTCAAGAGCAGGTGCAGGATGAGGCAATTACAGAGATGACCTCCACCTTATTCATGAGAGTCTTCCATTAGGCAACTTGAAGTCGACATTATGGATAATATTGAATTATTTAAAGATTTGGGAATAATAATTTATGAGCAAATAGATAGCACAGAAGCCAACGTTGAAAATGCAGGGGTGTAAGGTCTTATAGAGTTAAACCTTGTTATTCTGCACACAGATAACTTGGAGCCCAGATGTCTTGCAAACAAGCTCTGGAATGTTCATATAACCTTGGAGAGCACATAGCTTGCAAACAAGTATGTTACAACATATGCCTGCAAACGGGCTATGGTTGACTCCCAAGGAACTCATTGACCTTACAGATTAAGGAATAGTTTGATTATAACAAGAGTGAAGTCAGTGAATTCTTGGGACCTAGCCTAATGTAGATAGAGAATATAAAAATAAAACGACGCAGTACTCTGTGCTGCAGTCTTGTACCCTGTCTTTTGTGTTTGTCTGTTTCTTTGTTCATTCCCTTTCCCCCCCCCTCCCGACACACGGGAGGCAACAAGTGGCGTAGTCGGCAGGATCCGAGTCGCCGGATTCGGTAAGTAAAATAAGGGGAAAGCGGAACCGAAAAGGTTGCCCCTGAAAAATAAGGGGATTTTTGGAATCAATAATCATGGGAAATTCCTCATCGAAGGAACAAGAATATAAGAATTTACTTAAAGGGTTGTTGTACTCAACAGGAGTAAAAACAAAAGAAAAGACAGATCAGTTGTTTCAGCATATAGGGACTCATTGCTATTGGTTTGCGTCTCAGCATAAGGTTCAGCTTAATCTTAGAGAATGAAAGAAGTCCTTAGGACTCTTCGTAAATGCCATCAGCAAGGCAAAACTGTGGATTTGAAATTATGGACATTGTGTGGAGCTATTACTCAGGCTCTTAGGTTACTAGATAGTTCATCTGCAGATGCTGCTTCCTTGCTCTCTAATCAGGAAGAACAGGCTACTCAAGGGACTTGACCCGAAGAGCAGCGAGAAAAGGAGAGGGTATATGAGACAATTCCGGAGTCATTGCCTGGTCCCGATCCTCCAGATAGTGAAGAAGAGGAGGAACATTTAAATCCAACAATTTCTGAATCATCGTCAGAGGGAGACTATGAAGCGGGCGCTATGGAAGAAGTAGTTTCACTTTTTAAGAAACTGGCGAAACGAAAGTATAAACACAAGGAGTCTAAATCTAAGACTGTTGTTCCCTCGGCTCCTGTTTTGCCTGCACTCTCCTCTCCTCCTCCTTTTACTCCTGCTGCGTACCCTGTAGAATCTCCAGTGGCAGCGAGAGCACAGGATAGTGAGAGACATCGGTTTCTCTTGGCGGCCTCTATGCTCGATAATGAGGCTTTGCCAGAGGATGGTTTATTAGCATTTTCTACAGTCCGTCAGCAGAGCCGGGGAGGGGGATGCGGAGGGAGCGGACGCAGCTGGAGCTGCTCCCCTGGCGCTGGTGGCAGGTGGGCTGCGGCAAAGGTCCCTAAGGTCCTGGCTTCCGTCTTTGGAGGGGAGGGCTGTGATTGCTGTTATGGAGCGGGCTGTGCCGCAGCTCATCCGCGCCCTGCGCCGGAGGGACCAAGGCCCCGCTCCCTGGCCCTGCTGTCTCCTGCATTCCCAGAGAAGGTAGAGCCCCTGGGAGGCGACGGGCAGGTAAACCTCGGTGTTGAGGCCGGTGGCACCAACAGGTCCCTCAGTACAGCCCCGACTTCACATGTTTCAATGTTGTTTGTTTATTGCGCAGCTGTTAGTACTACCATATAGGGCTTTTAACACTCAAAATGCAGAGCGATCAGGAGGATTTGGAAGTACTGGGAGACAAATATTTTAGGAAACATTAATTTCTGATGATCGCCCTTCTATCAAGCTATGCATAGAAGATAAAGAATTTACAGGACTTGTAGACACAGGGGCAGATGTCTCCATTATTGCAAAAGCCTTTTGGCCTAAAGAGTGGAAAAAGGAGATAGCTGACTCCACCTTAACTGGTATTGGAATTTCAACATGTGTAGAAAAAGGAACCAGGCCATTCCGATGTCTAGGTCCTGAGGGACACACTGCTCTTGTTCAATTTTATTGCACTGACATTCCTATCAATATTTGGGGAAGAGATTTGCTACAACAATTCGATGCCTTCTTACATATTCCTCAAATATCTCCAGCCGCTCGTAATATGATGTTTAAAATGAATTACAACCCCTTCAGGAAAACTAATAGCCACTGCTCTTATACCTCAAGCTTTACCTTTAAAATGGAAACAGACGAGCCCGTCTGGGTAGAGCAGTGGCCATTACACAAAGAAAAGCTTGAGGCTTTAAAGGATTTGGTAAAGGAACAATTAAGATTAAAACATATTGAACCATCTACGCCACCTTGGAATTCTCCTGTTTTTGTAATAAAGAAAAAGAGTGGACAATGGAGATTATGAACAGATTTACGAGAAATTAACAAATGTATTGAACCAATGGGAGCTTTACAACCTGGTCTCCCTTTACCTTCTTGCATTCCTAAAGGCTATAGCATGTTAATCATTGACTTAAAAGATTGTTTTTATACAATCCCTTTACAAGATTCAGACAAAGAAAAGTTTGCATTTACAATACCTGAATACAACAATAGGCGTCCTGTTGAGAGGTATCAATGGAAGGTACTTCCTCAGGGAATGTTAAATAGCCCTACTTTGTGTCAAGAATTTGTAGATCGGGCATTACAGCCCTTGCAGGAGCAGTTTTCTGACATTCTTTTATATCATTACATGGATGATATTTTACTTGCAGCTCCCACTAAGGAAAAGAGAGATTATTATTTTCAGGAACTACAACAATCTTTAACTAAATTTAGTTTAAAAATAGCTCCTGAAAAAGTACAATTAGAAGAACCTTATAATTACTTAGGATATATACTTACTCAAAAGTCTATTAAACCTCAGAAAGTACAAATAAGAACAGATCAATTAAAAACATTAAATGATTTTCAAAAATTGTTAGGAGATATTAATTGGTTGCGTTCTGCATTAGGAATTCCTACAGTAGCACTCCAAAATTTATTTGCCACTTTAGAAGGAGACTCTCAATTAGACAGTCCTCGAGAATTAACAAAAGAAGCTTTACAGGAATTAGAATTAGTTGAACAACGAATTTCTGAAGCTCAAATTCAATATTATGATCCTCATTTTCCTGCTCAACTGTTCATATTCCATACTGATCACTCTCCTACAGGATGTATTGGACAAAATACTTCTATTTTAGAATGGATTTTTTTGCCTAACAAATTTGCTAAACAGCTTACCACTTATGTTGAAAAATTAGCTATGTTAATTTACAAAGGAAGAAAACGAATTAAACAATTACTTGGTGTAAAGCCAGAAAGTATTATTACAAGGTTACATAAAAAACAAGCTCAGCAATTAATTCAAAATTCTGAGGCTTGGCAAATTGCCTTAGCAAATTATCCAGGAACAATTGACAACCATTATCCGGCTTGTAAATTATTTCAATTTTTAAAAGAGCATTCAATTCTTCCTCATAATCCTATTTCTTCTAAACCAGTTAAAGGACCTACTGTTTATACTGATGCAAATCAAACAAAAATAGCCTTTTGGTCAGAGGGTGTCTCTAAAACTGAAATTTCTCCTTGGACATCTGTGCAGCAATCTGAATTATGGGCTATTTACAGCGTATTACAAGAATTTCCAGTAACCAGTCTAAATATTGTCTCTGATTCTCAATATGCTGTATTTACAGTAAAACAATTACCTCAGGTTACTTTACCTTCAGTAGGTAAAACTGCAATTCAGAAAATATTTATCCTGTTACAAACTTTGCTTTCACAGCGTGCCTTACCAATTTTTATCACTCACATCAGATCACATTCTTTGCTTCCTGGGCCTATGGCTTCAGGCAATGCGCAAGCTGATGCACTTTTATCTGTGTACACTGCTCAACAAGAACATCACTTGCATCATACTAATGCAAAAGGCTTGTGAGCTAGATATGCTATTACAAAAAAAGAAGCATTAAACATTATAAAATATTGTCCTATTTGTGGTCCTCAGAACCTACATCCTCTGCCTCCTGGTGCTAATCCTAGAGGGCTCTCTGAGAATAGAATTTGGCAGATGGATGTTGTTCATTATACTCCTTTTGGAAAATTAAAATATATTCATCACACTATTGACACATATTCTCATTTCCAATGGGCTACTGCAGCTACAACAGAAAGAACTTCTGCAGTAATTGCTCATTTGTTGGTATGTTTTGCAGTTATGGGATTACCTGCGACCCTCAAAACTGACAATGGTCCAGCTTACACTTCTGCAACATTTGCCTCTTTTTTACACTCCTGTAACATTCAACACATCACAGGCATTCCTGGCAATAACCAAGGACAAGCCATTATTGAGAGAGCGCATCGTACCTCGCGCCTTTATTTACAAAAAATAAAAGGGGGAACCAGACTATTATCCCCGCATCAGCAATTAAACAAAACATTATTTACATTAAATTTTTTAAACATTTGGACTCAGAATCATACAACTGCAGCTGAGAAACATTTTTCCTCATGTAATCTAGAGGACCGACAACCACAAAAAATATGGGTGAAAACTGAAGAAGGGTTGTGGGAGCCTGCCCTCTTGTGGCATATGGGGCGTGGGTATGCTTATGTATCCACAGGTGATTCATACTTCTGGCTCCCTAGCCGAAGAATAAAGTTCCAGCCCGAAGATGAGCGACAACCAGATTGACGAGATGTTATTCAGATCACTCTCCAATCTAACTACCAATCGCTCTTTCATGGTGGGAACCCGCCAGGCGCAGCCTCCAACATGGGGCCAATTGAAGAAATTGACCCAAGAAGTGGAGAAGACACTTCAACGCACCCGACAACCTTTCACTCCTGCCAATCTTCTCCTGGCTATGATGGCGGATGTGACCTGCCAGGTAAATATAGCATATGCAGAAATTTTTACTTATTGGGCATATGTGCCTAATCCTCCTCTGCTTCAAGCAGTAGTGTGGGGAGATATTTCTGTGCCAGTGTGCACTAATGATTCTCGACCATTGCCATTCCCCCGATGCAGTGGCAGAGATTTACATCCTTCTAGTTTGAACACAGCCAATAATGTTAATATAACTTTAGCTGTACGGGGGTTCCTTTATGTATTGGTAATAATAGCTTTTGTTTAAAATTAGCCAATCAAGCTTGGGCAGTTAAGTTTAATCATTCTTCACTTGCTTCCTTCATGGCTGTAGTCACCATGAAAGCTTTTCAGCATTTCTCTTTAGTAAATTCAACAGAAGAAGATATACCAAATATTCCTATTTGTACCTTGACATCATTTACATCTCCTGTAACTCATTTTGAATGGTTAAGATGTCGAGCTCATTTACCTAGAATGCTTTTAAATGATACAGTTACAAATATTGCAATTCTAGATTGGAGTCCGCATGGGTTTTTTCAAGAAAAATTCTCTAAACATTCATTAAAATGGCACAAGACAAATAATAGCTTGAATGCCTTGGGTAGTGTAACTTTAGATGGGAAGGGAAATGAAACTATAGTCTGGCAGGAAGGAGGTTTTACTCCGCCTGCACCATTCTTAAAAGGAATCACTGTCACTCAAGAACATATTTGGAAATTGGTTGCAGCTTCTGAGCCTATTCACTTTAGGAGAGGAAACATGTCTTTAAATATTTCTGATACTTCTGGTCCTTTCCATGTTACTATTCATAATAATCATACTTACTATGTACAGAATTGTGTTAAATACCCATATATACTTTTATCTGGGAGATGGGGATGGAATATAACTCAAGGGAATATTAAATGTACTAGCTGTACATTTAATGTAAGTTCTGATAGTCGTTTAGTAGCTCAGATTCGACCTGATTTATGGATACATGTTACTCTTACCCGACCCTGGAATGATTCTATTGGACTAACAGCCCTATACAATACGGTTCCACAACTGCTGAAACGTTCCAAGAGATTTGTGGGCTTAATAATTGCAACTATCCTGGGACTTGCTTCTGTTGCTACAACTGCTGCTGTAGCTGGTGTGGCTCTTCAACAAGGAATCCAGACAGCTGACGTTGCTGCAGAATGGTATACAGATGCCCATACCCTGTGGGATCAACAACGGAATTTGGACTCTCAGCATATGGACATTGAAAATTTACAACATACTGTAAAATAGTTAGGTGATCAGGTGTCAATTTTGTCAACTAAAATGTTATTAAGATGTGATTGGAATTCAACTCAAATATGTGTAACTCCTGTCTTATATAATGTTTCTCAAGAATAGAATAGAATCAAAAGAAATTTATTCTAATATTACTGAAGAAATTTTAGCATTACAAGAAGAAATTACTGCTACCTTTTCACGTAAATTGCCTCAGTTGACTGGTCAAGAAATGCTTAATGGTTTAACTGATGGTTTAGCTAATCTTAATCCTTTAGGACATGTACAAACTTTGCTAACTGCAACCTTTGGAAATACCTTTGTAATCTTGTTGCTTTGTTTTCTTGCTTATATAGTCTACCGGCGATGGTCCCAAAGAAGAGTGAAAAAGAAGTTAAGAGAAAAGCTAGATGCTGTTGTAGCTCATGTTAAAAATGAAAAATAAAAGCGGAAAATGTAAGGTCTTATAGAGTTAAACCTTGTTATTCTGCACACAGATAACTTGGAGCCCAGATGTCTTGCAAACAAGCTCTGGAATGTTCATATAACCTTGGAGAGCACATAGCTTGCAAACAAGTATGTTACAACATATGCCTGCAAACGGGCTATGGTTGACTCCCAAGGAACTCATTGACCTTACAGATTAAGGAATAGTTTGATTATAAAAAGAGTGAAGTCAGTGAATTCTTGGGACCTAGCCTAATGTAGATAGAGAATATAAAAATAAAACGACGCAGTACTCTGTGCTGCAGTCTTGTACCCTGTCTTTTGTGTTTGTCTGTTTCTTTGTTCATTCCCTTTCCCCCCCTCCCGACACACGGGAGGCAACACAGGGGTGCATGTCCAATAAGCCAACCAGCAATTGTCAAAGGCAGCAGAATATCAGAAAAAGGATCCCTGCATGTTGCTGAGAGATGCACAAGCCATTAATGAAATATAGAAATAGACAGTTGAGCTAGCAATGAAGAATGGAACAACCTGTTAGCCTTTATATTTTAAATGACAATGTCATAATTATTTTGACTCTGGTTTTTATTTGTATGTTGAGATTTGAATGCTATTTCCATTAATATAAACAATAAAATGCTGCTAGAGAGTCAAGTAAGAATTGAGAAAATTTGTATTCTTCTTGTCTAGGGCTGCTCCCATGTTTCCCCCAACCCCGATCTGAGCTCAGTGAGTAGAAATCATCATTTGTACAATTTGGGGAAGCCTGCAAGTATCAATGGCACTGTTGCCACAGGGGAAGACTTGATCAGAGTGGAAGAGGTTGTTAAATTATCCATTTCCTTTTCAGTGCAATGTGCTGAATTTACTAGGTTATAATGAGTCTTTCTTCTGTTCCTAGGTTGTGCTCTCCATTGCAGCAAACACAGTGCAAGCCATAAATGTAACAGGAAGCTACTAAAAATGTGAGAGCAATAGAAGAGATGAAATTAGATCTCTACATGTGCTTGACTGATGGGAAAAAAATGTGCACATGGGTCAAAGAAAACAAAGATGATTTAGTAAAAAATAAAAGACAAATGGGACTTGAGAACTGATTTCAAATTTATGAGTACACCCCTACACACACACACACGCACACAGACATTACATAGCAGAGAGGGGAAGCCATACTGACTTGAGGTATTTGAATACATTTTAAAATATCATTGGTTTTCTGACAGCTTTTAGAGGGGAGGAAGATGCAGGGGACTGGATGACAGAAGGCGAAGAGATTAGCCAAAGAGCATATATGCTTAATCTGTAGAAACAGACAACAGTGTGATGTTGACCAGAGATAATGGGGTGCAGAGGCTGGGTGCTAGGGGCAAGAGAAATGGGGACATCTGTAATGGTGTCAACAATAAAAATAAAGTTATAAAAATAAGTAAATAAAAATATTTTTAAAATCTAAGTTGTCAACTAAGCTATCAATTTGCAAGGCGATTCCCTAGTAAACCAGGCTAAAAATAAAAATAAATACGAATTTTTAAACTGAGTAAGCACACTTCTAAAGAGAAGATTTTACACTAAAAGTTTATTCAAGTTACAAAATAAAATCAATCTAAGAAAGATGAAGCAGAATCCATATTTACTATACTATATTATATAAAATATGTACTTAAAAATTTGAAAACATGCAAAGAAACTGAAAAATGTCTTCCATATGCAGGGGAAGAAATTAGTCAATAGAATCTAACTTTTACTGGGATAAGATGTGTTTATTAGAAAAATATTTTAAAGTAACTATTATAAATATATATTTATATGCAAATTATTTAAAAAACTATGTTCAAGTAACTATATGAAAATATGATGACTGTGAGAGAATAATTAGAGAAATAAATGATGTGAATGAATCAAATAAAAATTCTGAGTTGAAAAATACATTTTATACATTGAAAAATTCACTACATTTCTTTAAAATTTGAGATAGAGAGGACAGAATTGATGGAATTAAAGATGGAGTAATGAAATTATTAATTCCTGAGCAAGAGAGAAAAATAAACTCAGTCTCAAGACCTTTAGAATAGTGTCAGAAAAACCGACATAGGTATAAATATTGTCTGAGAATATGAAGACAGAAAGATGGGAAAATAATTTTTGAGACACAATGAATGAACAACTTCTTACATTTTATGTTAAAAATATATATATAGTTCCATGTACATAAAGTTATTCATGAACAAAAGGTCCTCTATTACAAATTATGTTCTGTCAATTCAATAATGATGTAGGAAAGTGTAAACTTCACTTCTACCACACAGCATCACAAATACAGCATTACAAAAAAATTCTCAATATATTGTAGACCTAAATGCAAGTTAATCAACAAAGAAAAATGATAAACCTTAAAGAGTAATGTAGCAGATTATCTTCATGAACTTTGACTAACTTCTGAAATATGTCCAAAATAATTATTAAAACCCAAAATGAAATATCTGTCTATGGCAAAATTAATAAATGCTGGTCATTAAAAGACTCCAATGTAAGACTAAAAATGTTAGTAACAGTGAAAAAAGCTACTTGTATCTTATAAATTCACAGAAGAGCTCATATCCAAAATATAACAACTCCTTGGAAGGAAAATAACAGGCAACATACAGGAGAAATGGTCAAGAGACATTAATAGTTATTTTTCAATTCTCGTGGTACAGAATTTCATAATAATTAGTGCCCAGAAAGATGTGTTCAATCTATTAGTAATCAGGAAAATGTCCATTAATGTCATAATGATACTTTTACATAAAGATCAGAACTTATAGCATTGAAATTACTGACAGTACTAAGTTCTGGATCATGGAACTATTGGATAAAATGTGTATTTACACAATAAACTAAAAAATGCTGGGATACTTTAATAAATTAGACAGATACATATATTTATGGCCTTGAAATTTCATTGTGATGCATAGAGAACAATAAATTATAACTACATATACAATTATAATAATATAACTATGTTGATAAATATTTATTTTATTGTTATAAATATAGTGTTTATAGTATATAAATATGAAGTATTGTATGTAACATTTATACATAATATAAATTATTTTAGGTACAATATATACTTTTTATTTTTTTATTTTTATTGTTGAAAGTATTACAGATATCCCCCTTTTTTTCCAAATGACCCCCTCCTTTCTGCTCCCACCCTTCTTCTGTCTTCCCCAGCCTACTGTCTGTTGTGCATATAAACATATAAGTTCTTTGATTTATCTCTTCCCTCTCCTCCCACCCCCATTCCTCTGAGGTTTCTCAGTCTTTTCCCTACTTCATGATTCTGGATCTCATTTGGTCAACAGTTTATTTTGTTCATTACGTACCACAAATAAGTGGGATCACGTGGTACTCATCTTTCTCTGACTGGCTTATTTCGCTCAGCTTAATATTCTCCAAGCCCCTCCATGTCATCTCAAAGGATAAGAGATCTCTCTTTTTTACAGATGCATAGTACTCCATTGTGTAAATATACCACGTTTTTTATCCACTCATCTACTGATGGGCACTTGGGCTGTTTCCTAATCTTAGCTATTGTAAATAGTGCTGCTATGAACATAGGGTACATATATTCTTCCAGATTGTAGTTTTAGGCCTTTTAGGATATATTCCAAGAAGTTGGATCACTAGGTCAAATGGCAGATCCATTTTTAATTTTTTGAGGAAACATCATATTGTTTTCCATAGTAGCTGCACAAGTCTGCATTCCTACCAGCAGTGTGCTAGAATACCTTTTCTCCACATCCTTGCCAGAATATGTTGTTTGAGGATTTGTGAATTCTGCCATTTTGGCAGGTATGAGATGTCTCACAGTCATTTTAATTTGCATCTCTCTGCTGATTAAAGATGATGAGCATTTTTTCACATGACTCCCACGCATTTGTATGTCCTGTTTGGAGAAGTGTCTATTCAGGTCCTCTGCCCATTTTTTAATTGGACTGTCTTCCTTTTGTTGAGTTGTATGAGTATTCTATATATTTTGGATATTAACTCCTTATTTAATGTATCATTGGCAAATATGTTCTCCCAGAGAGTGGGTTCCCTTTTCATTTTGATGCTGGTTTCTTTTGCCATGCAGAAGATTTTAAGTTTGATGTAGTCCCATTTATTAATTTTTCCTTTGTTTCTCTTGTTCTAGGTGATGTATCAGTGAAAATTCCACTGCATATGATGTCTGAGATTGTTCAGCCCACATTTCCTTCTGGGATTTTTATGGTTTCATGGATTACATTTAAGTCTTTTATCCATTTTGAGTTTATTCTTGTGTATAGTGTAAGTTGGTGGTCTGGTTTTTTTCTTTCTTTCTTTCTTTCTTTTTTTTTTTTTTTGCATATAGTTGTTCAATTATTCCAGCACCATTTATTGAAAAGACTGTCTTTTCTACAACGTGATGTATTGCCTCCTTTGTCAAATATTAATTGTGCATATTGTCTTGGGTATCTGGGTTCTCTGTTTTTTTCCATTGATCTATATGTCTGTTCTTTTGCCAGTGCCACGCTGTTTTAATTACATTGGCTTTGCAGTAT